TCTCATCAGAGAATGCAGAAGTCTAGTTTGGCGAGTATCCGTGTACCTTCGATAAATTATCGTCAGGCCTTACATTTATATGGCAACTGGGTGCAAGTCCATGGACTTCGGATAACTTGGTGGGATTCTGTAGATCACTCGGAAAGCTTCTTTGGGGTCCACCCGATATCCGGAATCGACTAAAGACTGATGGACATCCACGAAGGTCTTTTGGCTTATTTGCCGTCGTCAGGTGGTGATACCCAACTCCAGAGGTCACCGGGATCAGCACCGAGTGCGGAAGATGCGCCTGATACTCCCTTGCTGTTTGCAGATTCCGCTGACAAGGTTGGAAAAAAAAACAGAAATCTCCGCCCAGATCATCGACAGTCCGCTGCGGGTCGAACCAAGGGAGAGCGTTTTAAGGCCATATGGACTGTAGCCGCCTGGTTCGGCTGATGTGATCGCTGACGGGATCATCGTGGTATGCAGACAGTGAACTAGGCAAGACTGTGAAGACCTTTGCATGAGATTAATGGTGGGAGAGCCTAAGCCATAGTTGTCCATATGTAAAATAATATGTATAAATGCTACTAAAATATAGCTAGTAGTATTATAGTTATGCGTTTCCTTCGTTTGTTGACATCGACCGATTGAAGTGCAACTCTCCTTACAGTATAAAATTATGCTATGAAACAAATGCTGCTATAATATAGAAAGTAGCGGTGGTGATCAGTTCATATTGTAGCGCGAACTGTTTTATCGATCCGACTTGCGCTTAAAAACCTCCAGGGATTCCGACATAACGGCATACCGAGGAAGAGTATTCCAAACTTCTCCAGCCGACTGAGTCACGAGGCCCTTATCAGGATGAATTATTAAAATCTGTCGAAACTCCCTACTGATTATGTGTGTGCCTAGTAGTCATTGGGTAAATGCTAGATTGAGTGCGTTGGTAATCCTGCTGGGGACAGTCAGCTTACTGTATTAGAATTGGGGCATTGAATGCGTTGTAGGGTATGCTGGACGGGTAAATGTTGTGTGATTTAACTCACGGCTGCCGGTGACTGCGTCGTAGATCAGTTGGCTGCACTAGAGCCTCCCCCCTTGTTGGCGTGGATTCAGATCCCACTGTGGCGGCCGAGACTTTATCACCTAAGTCAAATGGATTCTGGATCAAGGTGTGGGAGGTCTGTAAGATACCATGATGCCAGCGCAGAATAGAGTAGAATACCACCTTTAATTCACTGCTTCTGCTATTATGTTAAAAAGTACCTTTATATCTCAATACCAAACAACCGCAAAAACTAAAAGAAGAGGAAGCATCTATCAGAATGTATTTTATTATAACAAGAGGGTGTTAGTTTAAGCTGGCTTTGTTTGAGGAAAAAGCGAAGTCCATCTATCAGCTGCACTTTAATTTCACTATCGTGTTCAGTACTAGTTGCTCAAATTTGTACTTCTAAAAGTACTTGTAAACAGCACTGTTTACTATACACAACCCTTCAACCCACAGTGGTTAAAACGCGTATATGATAAAAATAAACAATAAGTACAACCTGGAAGCTCTACTAACGAAGGAACTTTAAGGACTGTTTCTAACATAGGGTTCTTCTTGTGCAGGAAAGACTCGAGTGTTGAATCCATGACCAACTAAAGCGTACGCAGCTAGTATAGCTGACAAAGACAGGGAAGACTGGAATGGCTATTTCTGTCTTATTAGCCATCATCAGCCATTCATAACCAGACCCAAGTCGTGTCCCAGTCGAGCTTCGAACTTATGACCTTTTTGATCAGATTCAAATATCCTAACCGCTGAGCCACGAGCTCGTTGTCTTGACGGCTATAGATCGGGGTATATTTACATTCGTTTGATGAACTTCCATCCACCCGCTAACGGAACTCATCTGTC